ATTGTGCCTAGAGCGTTCATTTTGTATCCCAGCCTCCACTCACCGCCGCCCCCAGCCACACCCCGGCAACTGCGATTCTTTCTATTCATCAGACAGTGGCCCAGTTCACAAGTCATGGTAAAAAATAGTTAATGGATTTTTGGTAAACCTGTTGATCTTGGCCGCTTTGTTCCTCCCTGCTAGTGTGCCAAAGAAACAAACTATGCGCCTAGTCTGGCATTGCATCCAAAGTGGGGACTGTGGCTTATTTTATTCAAACCAACCACGATCAGTAAACCAAAAAGAAACCTAGGTTACAGATCATAGCTTGTTTGGAGTGGAACAAATCAAATCACAATCCTTGGTTCAAACACAAACGTTTCTCCTTTACATGATGTGCAAACAGGACCTTAATGTCGCTTTGCATAATAGGTACCTGCATTATTCCCTGTTCTCCACCATCAGATGGTGTTCAAGGACTGCACGCAGAAGAGGAAAGAAGAAACCTCTGTAGCAGCATGCTATGGGATTATTATAAATCATATTGTAGTCAGAAGCAAGCACAAAACATTCCTTTTTTGACCAGCAGACATGTTGTGAGAAAGTACTGTGGGCACCAGTCACAAAATGGCTGCTATAGGAGTGTGGAATAACATAAAATTAGAGAAAGCATGGTAGCCATTGTTGCCCTCTGCCATCTCACTTTCAGACAACCAAGGGAAGTCAACTACATATGTCTTGCTGATCCCGATTATGGAGATCACACAGTATTGATCTCTCTCTCTCTCTCTCTCTCTCACACACACACACACACACACACACACAGATGCTGTTGCTGTTCAGCAACTTGAAAGCAGATCCCTGTACCACAAAAACAACAACAACACAATGTGGCCACACATACTCACTCACTTGCACACACATGTAGTTTCAAAGCTATGAACAGAAGGCCAGCATGAGTGGATTCAGCAAGAAAGAAATGGGTTCATTTGTATAATTGGCCTTTTGACCAACTTCCTAAGTTAGCTTACACATTGGTACGGCTGAAAATGAAGGGTGTGTGTGTTGAATTCTATATTTCTAAAACCTGACCCAAACATGTTCCTCATGCAGTCTTGTCCCATCATGATTTATCACTCATTTGTTGCTGAATGTCTAACGCCTCAACTGAAAAGCACTGAGTTAGGGATAACTTCAGCTCTACATGCAATGTTTGATGTATGTGCAATGGCCATTATCTGTCTATGCTGATGTCATCATGCATGATGAAAATGCATGCTTCATTTGAAAGGTGACTTTAATTTGTGGAAATGTATTTTGAATGTTATTTTATATGCCATTAATATAAAAGTGTACACATCCAAATTTCAAGCTATGTTAGCGTATCTCTGAGAAACATTGAGCGATTGAAATACGCGGGACCTCTTACAGGGCAGGTAAACAATTTTACAGCCAGAAGGAGCAGGAAAAGACCTCATGAGGAAACAGTTAAAAATATATATTTGAGGTGTGGGGATCCAAAGAAAATAAAGTGGGGTGGTTAATTTATTCAAGGTTTGAATGAACTGGGAAGATTTTGCTTGACGCATAAAAGATAACAGCAAAGGTATCAGGGTTAATCTCCCTTGGGGAGCTCCATAGTTGGGAATGAACCATAGAAGAATGTTCTGCCATCACTATCTGCCTGCTCTGTGCTGGCAATACACCTGGAGAAGGGCTTTCATCTCAGCTACCAGGTGGGTTCCTTACATAAGTGGCCAGTCTTTTGGGTAGGCTGAAGCTAGACTCTTTGGGGTGGGCAATCACTGCCACTCTCCAGATGTTGCTGGACTACAACTCCTATCAGCAAAAATTCAAGGGCCACAGGTTATCCACTCTTTCTTTAAGGCAATGATCCCATACTATCCCAGGCTTAGAAGGTCTAAAGAGAGGGAAGCAAGTCTCTAATTGCTTTATCCAAAACATTCCTATGGAAACCTCTGCCGTGCCCCACTAATTTACCTTCCCTCCACCAAACCTTAAAATCCCCCAATGCTTTATCCTTATACTGTAGACATTGTGCCCCGGTCCTTTCATGGTTCTAATTTCCATTTCCTGCATCTTTTCTAGCTCTACAGTATTCTTTTACAAGATGGGGCAACCAGAACGGTACGCAGTATTCCAAATACAGCATTCCTGTGCAATGCCAATCATCTGTTGTATAATATATAGCAGCTTCCTAAACCAAATGCCTCTCTTCCTCCACCTTTTTGTGTGCCTCCATTCAGGTACGCAGGAAAGATTGAGGCGGCAGCAATACTGGCAAGGATTCTCAAGGATAGCGGCTGCTGAAAATACAAAGCTTTGCATACAGACAGGGTTGTCTCCACCTATAGCCTTAGCTTTCTACACAGCTCAGTGGAATCCGCTTCTTGCATCCATGTGTCTCCTTAATGTGAACAGGGAGACCTACATCAAAGAGGTTAGGTTTCCATTCATTTTTAAAAGGACAGCGGGAGAGTAGGGGGAGGGGACCAAGAATATGGCTGGAATGTATACTGGTCAAAAAAGGTCATCACCCCAACACAAGAGGACATAAGATTCCAAAACAAAATGGTAAGCATGAAAGATGAGAAGGGACAGGAAGTTGATTAAATAGAAAATATTCCACAACACTATAAATATTTATGCAAAGCAAATTCTGCAAAGCACTGAGTATTGCTGGAGCCATGAGCACACTTATGTAAATAGGGAAAATACAGGTGCCAAGTAAGGAAGAGGTGTTCAGCTTAATTACAAAACTATTTCAAGACATCATTAACAACTTTTAAGTGTTCATTACAATATACAGAGAATTGTTAACATGCATGTCAAGAAAGCCCATGGAATTCTTTTCTAATGTTTATTAGTGTTTATTTTTCAAGCTTATTTTGTAAAAGTAAGCTTTTGTGGAAGTGAACTCATTGGAGAACTCGTTCTTAATTCCATTTCAGAACACATCTGGTGTGTTTGCCAGCTTTGAGAAAGACAACGGCCCCAGTTTAAAAGAAGTAGCCTGAGTTAAGTATACTTGACATTCAAGTGGTTGAAAACAGGATGTGTGGAGCTAGCCATCTCTAACCCTTTATCACCAAGACGTTAAATATCAGGATGATACCAAAACGAGCATGCTTTCCAGTTTCCCAATTCAGAGATTCACAGCAGAGAGAGAAGTAAACGAAATAAATACTGAGAAAGAGAAAAGGATGCATCTATGGAAAGATAGCATAATTATCTTTTACTCCTTTATTCGTCACTGAACATTCCTCCTCTTGGTGGCAGGAAAATTACAGAGCGGTGAATTAGACAGATTCAACGTTTTACGATACTGGGCTATTGTATGTAGATTCGCCATTGTTTATACTTCTAAATTCTTCTAGCCTCTACCTATTAGCTTTACAATAAATTTAACAAAAGCATTCTACTATGGGGAAATATGGTCACTTTATGGTACTGTTATTTTTTCAAGGTGTCTAGACAACATGAGTTCCATTGTTCTCTGCAAGGTTCTCTCCAGAAACATTAGCGTGGGTAAAAAGAAACCAACCACTTGCAGCTTAGAAGCAACAAGGTGGAGCACCTCCCCATATGGAACAGTTAAGTGCCCTTCCATGTCAAGAGGAAGGCTAGGGGATTTACAGCCAAGTCCTTTTGTAATTTCTCTCTTCTTCTTTTGTATATTGAAACCAGTACAATACTGTACGTGGCCAAGAGAAGAAAAGAGAAGAGAAGGGGAGGGCAGACCAAATGGGACTGCTGCAGACACTACAAGGAAAAGGAGAGAAGGAAGAAGCCAGCTTGCCTTGCCCCAAGCTTCTTGCTTAAACCTAATCTATTGCATGCTGGGAAGGACTGATCTGAAGGCATGAAGAGTCTAGCGTCTTAAAAAAAAATTAGCAAAGATTAGGCCCTGCCTCTTGGACCAGAGGAAGGCCTTCCTGAAACTATTACCTGGTTCACACATAATGCGAAAACAAGCCATGGCTTAGCATGAAGGTGCAAATGTGCAGCTTCCCAGAGAGATTGCGTTCACTTTCCTCAGCCGCCCATCCTACTGCAAAGCAAGCAAAGCAAAGCCATGGTTTGCTTCAGCATTATGTTCAAACTGCGCTCATGATTTATCTTTCTCCACACAAAACTGGTAGCCAAGGTTTGTTCTCTGTCTTGCTGCTCATGGTCTTTCTGGGGGAGATAAGCTATGAGCCTGGGTTCAGATGTAACGATGAGCCAAACCATGGCTTAGCTTACAGCAACGTGGCAGCAGGAAGACGGGCGTAAAAGCAAAGTGATCAAAATCTTGTCTCTGGGAACCCACAAATTTGCTTGTTTATGCTAGTTTGGCTTAGTGTTGCATTCAAAATGGGCTTTTATCAAAACATACAGTGTGAAAGAACAGCATAAAATCTGACCTGCCCTTACATAAAATAGCAAGTTAGAATAGAAAGGTCACCCAAATGGGCTGTGAAAATTCATCAGCAGGAAGTTTCAGTTCTCAGACATTTCCAGGCAAAAAGACACACACACACTTTCTCCATTGTGCCATATTGTAGCCTTAAGGCTGTTGAATAATATGCAGTGTTAGCACACAGCTCAGAGACTGACCACTTGTGCATCTTTCTTGGAGTGCATACTTACCTTGTTTTCATGACGTCAGTTTCAAAATCTTCTTTAAAAAATGCTACTGCAGTGTTACCAAATCTAACATCAGGTATGTGCCTTTAGCCACTTGGTCTCCACCAAACAGCAAGGATTCCAGTGTTTGAAACAGAATAACTTGGTGTATGGACTGCTTTTATTATGTGGCAATAATTCAGTAATAATTTTTAGACAGTTCTGATAGTAATTTCCCATTTTTATTACCATCATATTGCTAAGAATCATCTTATCATCATTATGAAGTGTGTGCAAATAATTAAGGATTTCAGCTTCTAGTTTTGGGGCGAAAGTCAATACCACATAACAATAAAATCTTGACTGCTTGTGAAAAGAGAACAATGGCTTACCAAGAATGTAGACCCTTGACATGAAGCTATAACTGAGTGAGTTGTTTCCCCCAGCTGGATTGAGAGCTCCCAGTTGTTAGCATCAGGTGGAACAATAGACACCCTAAAGCAACAGAAAGACAAATAAGAGTACTTTAAACATCCTCAACCCGTGTTTCATCACTGGCTCTCTCCATGGTTTTTATCACAAGATTTTAAAAAAATAATAACTATGACTTGGATCATATACTATATGCATATAAATTTTTCAGATGCCTTGGTTTATTTATTCCGCCTCTCCCACAAGGCAGCTTACAACACCTAGCAAAACAAGATTGTAAAAATATCCCATAGACACAAAACAACCCTCAAATTTTTTGCAGACGACTTCCAACCATTTTCCTGAGGCAGACAGGTCTCTGCACTCTACACATGGCTTCCTGGCAATATAGCCTGCATTTAGTAACAGCCTTTTACAAATGTTAGAACCATGACATTTCAGGTTACAACTTTGGAGGGAGTCGTGTAGCTGAAGTATGATGAAAATCTGATTTATAGCCACATGTAACCTTAGCTGCAAGAACATCATAAGGAAAGGCATAAGTGATAGAGCACATGCTTTGCATTCACAATAATACTAGATCACCAGTTTAAAGTATTGCAGGTAGCAAGATCTCTGCTCAGATCTTGAAGATGTTTTAACAGTCAAGGAAGGACATTATTTAGAAAACCAGCCCTTCTTTATTCACCACTGATGCCATCACTAGAAGACTTAACTGACAGCATAAAAAGACAAATGAAGCTCTCAATGGAAGTTTAAGAATCATCATATGAAAGATGATTTTGTACTGACCTGCTGTAGATACTTTAAGTATGTTTTAATCTTGTTAGCTGTTGAGCACACCCATGGAAAGGGATCTAATAAATAAACACGCTAAGTAATTACAAAAATATTGAGTATTAGTTCCTGCTTGTGGACTTCCCGTAGACCTTTGGCTGGCCACTGTGAGAACAGAATGTTGGACTAAATGGGCCTTTGGCCTGATCCAGCAATGCTGATATTTTAGCATTAAGATGGGTTTAATTTATTTATTTTTAAAAAAATTTTATTACATCTTCAGATACAAAGTCGGAAATATAAGAGACATAACAGAGAAGAAAGAAACATAGAAAGAAAAGAAAAACAATCCAACTTTCAAAAACGTTTTTACATTACCAACTGGACTTCCCCACATCTCCCTCACCCTGCGTTCTTTACAATAAACATATCAGCAAATTATTACCTTGTTTCATACCTTATTTGTATCTTTCAGATATTATACTTCTAGATTTAAAGTCCCTTTTTTATCAATTGCTTATACCTTATGGATGGGTTTAATTTTTTTTTTAAAAAAACAATCTTAAACTGACTGAGGATTTGTATGAAAACACTAGTTTTAAGATAAAGTGGAATTCCAATTTTACCAGGTAAGGCGGTGGGAAATCACTTTCAAATGCCTTTGTTTCTTATGTATTCATTTGTTGCAGGTTTGTAACACATCCAGCCCCACTAACTATATCTGATGGGGGAAATGGCTTTGAGAGTAAAGGAAACTGCAGGCTTCAGGGGACAGAATAGAACTCTGAATAAATTCTTAGAGCACACAACACCAAGTAAGATGAAGCCAACTAGTGAGGTGCAGCCCACAATACAAATCAGGAATATCGCAAGCTGTCAAAGAGAAAGTTTGAGACAGTTGCTGGTCTCCCAATGCAACCTTTACACATTTCAAGAACTCCCTGTAGAAAATGCACAGACTAAGCAGTTTGTCCTTTCGCACTGTCCTTAAGCTGCATTCTGCCGTGATGTTCCAGACATTTGACAACAATAGTTAGGCTGTGCCAGCTGCTTACTGCGCTAATCATAATTTCACATTGTTACCCTGTGCTCTCTCCCATCCTTTTCATTTGGCTACCTGTTCATTACCATAATTGGGCCACTTTTCTCCTTGAGTTCTTCCCCTGTGATTGTATGCCCCTGTTATCACTCAACATATGCTTAGTGATTTGATTATGACAGAAGCCTATTGGTTTCCTGCTCTCGACATATACTTCAAATAACCCTAGAGAGTACACTACTATTCTTAATTACTTTTGTAGAAAAAATGAAAAGTTCTTCTCAGGATTCTTAGGTAAAAAGCAAAAAACGGTATCAGGATAAACCTGCCCACAACTATCTCACACGAGTTAAATGGCAGGTTGAGCACCTTATGAGTGATATCTTACCAAGGCCAGAATGGACCAGAACGATCAGTTTGTGATCTCCTCTGAAATACCAAATCATATGTACAAAAGGCCATTCTAAAATTAAAGCATGTAGAATCTACCTTTTGGGGAATACAGCAGTGAAGATAGAGCCTATAGCTCAGTGGTACATTTCAAGCTCTGTGTGTAGGCATTTCCAGGTTCAAGTCACGTGATCTCCAGCTTATGTCAGGTGGCAGGAATGAGTCTTTGGAGGGCCACTGAATGAGTCTTTGGAGGGCCACTACTCGTCAGAGCAGGTAATATTGGGTGAGAAGGGGTCATTTGTGAAGACTCCTGTGTCCTTTTGAAGATTCCCCAATGTTTATCACAGCAAGCTTATGAAAAAAGTGTGTGTATTTGACCAAGAGAGAGTAGAATGCATTTTAAGAGCCATGGCTGTGCTGCCTAGTCAATAACATATTTATTTACTTTTTGACTGTGTTCTCTTCCCTTGCATGAATTCTGATGCAAATTATTAATACTGAGATGGAGGGAAGGACCAGCAATTTTAAGCTTCTACAATCCATCGATCAAATATTTATTATTATTTCACAAAGACTGGGTTCTTTAGCACTATTAGATTAAGTAAAGGTAAAGGTACCCCTGCCCGTACGGGCCAGTCTTGACAGACTCTGGGGTTGTGCGCCCATCTCACTCAAGAGGCCAGGGGCCAGCACTGTCCGGAGACACTTCCGGGTCACGTGGCCAGCATGACAAAGCTGCATCTGGCAAGCCAGAGCCGCACACGGAACGCCGTTTACCTTCCCGCTAGTAAGCGGTCCCTATTTATCTATTTGCACCCGGGAGTGCTTTCGAACTGCTAGGTTGGCAGGCGCTGGGACCGAACAACGGGAGCGCACCCCGCCGCGGGGATTCGAACCGCCGACCTTTCGATCGGCAAGCCCTAGGCGCTGAGGCTTAACAAAAGAATGCTTTTCTTCACCCTCAACCACCTTTTGTTTAAACAGCGAAAGCTTGAAGGAATGTCTACTCAGACCAAAGTTTATGCAACTTTCTTCACTTCCACTCTTGTTTACTAGCACACTGAAATAGCATCTGCTCAAAGAGTGTTTTGTGCAACTTAGTGCTGACATCAACAGATTAATCTGCATCCTTATTTTTTTATGAAGCACAGTACACTAGGTATACATTTTTATTGGGTCTGCCACCAGCCTTTTGTATTTCCAGTGCTTTGTGTGTTTTTACAATTCTAGCATTAGTTTATGACAGTTGCATTTTTCATTTTCTTATTACCAGAGTTCTGGTTACCACAATATGTGCAGTATTAGCAGAACAACCTTTCCGCTGTTGGAAAAAGACACAACCCCAGACATAGCTACTACGTCACATGACTGATGTTGAATGATTCATATAACAACTTGCCAAATCATTGTGAACTGTTAATCAGGCAACAGAGCTGAGCAACAACATGGACATGCCAAGCAAATGAGTCAGTTGCCCATTCAAAGCATCTGCAACTCTTGCTCACCTAGATAGAGCTACCATGGTAGCATCAGAATCCACGTTTCCCTGATATCTTCTGGAGTTGGTTTAGTTTGGAGAAGCCATATACATATGATCTCATTTAAAATCATCACTAATTTTCTGATTACTGATTCATTTTCATTGTCAACAGAACTTTCACAAATTATTCCTGAATGATTTTTGGGTAGATACAGGCAGGTCTTCTCACCTGCTTACCATTTATGCCTATCACTAACAGAACCCCCTAAAAAATTGATAGCTAGCACAACACTGCTAAAGAAAGAAAATATGCTTGTCAAATTGTTGGGTGTTGGGGTTTTTTTTACTTATTTGCATCCTCTTTTAAAAAATATTTTCTTTCAAAGTGGATTCTGAAATCAGAAGAGTAACTACAATTAAAACTACAAATATCATAAATATCACACACAACGTACAAAAAAATCCCTGTCAACTACTTACAGGGTTTTAAACCAGAACCCAGTGCCCTGTGCAACAGGTGACAGTAAAAGTCAGAATATTCTAATAGTGTTGGGAGGAAGAATTGAGAGTCTTCAATTTTAGGACAAATAGTTTGACAGAATCTGGGCTTAAAGTGGAAAAGTTGGTCTGATGGTGCACTCATTCCCCTTGGGAGACAAAAAGGGACCGCTGCAGTTATAGCATGAAATGGAAAATGGTAGAAAGGTGTTAGCTATGATCAAAGGAGTTGTAAAACATTTTCCAATACTACTGCTATTAGAAGAAAAAGGTCATCCTGACAGTGAGATAACGCCCATTTTCTGAAACACTAAGTTCATCACTTAAAATCCAGAAAGCGGAGCAAAAGTCAGGTGTAGACACAGCTTTAGGTGCAAACTGAGCAAGACACCACTGGGATTTATCGAAGGCGGGGGGAAACCATGCAAAATATTAGCTGGAATAGGCATAGCTTGGAACTTATATGCACAAAGAACTACAATATGCTGCTACTTCCATTCTTGCCTCCCTGCCAAATGGTTTGGTTGTTTCTGTATGAAGCATCAGCGTTCACAGCTTGTATTTTCCTTGCTGCAATGGATTCTCAGCTAGAGAACCTGCAGAACATCAGAAAAACAGGATGCCTAAAAAAGAAATGGACATCACCCATAGTTAAACTAAATGATACAAAAACCAAAAGCAGCAATGTAAAGTTTCATTCATATAATCTAGAATAAATAGTTGCTTTACTCAGGCTTAGATTGTCAGCAGCCAATCAGCATGTAGGAGCTCAATATCCAGTTTGCTACAAAGGGGTACCCCCTGCCTTTATTTGCAACTGCTGCAGATGATGTAATGGGATATGAATTAATGTCACAAAGGGTTATGAAAATAAAA